GCGCCCCCGCCCGCGCACATGCGCACCCAACGTGGAAGAGCCCACATGCGCTGCATAATAGGAGTGGCCCCTCCCCCACCCAGAAGCACGCCAGGCTCCAACCACTACGCCGGCCCTCGCCGCCTCAGTTTCCCGCTCGGAGCCTGCGAGTGGGCCCCGGGGACGTCCGGGACGCCCAGCCACCAGAGAAATCATACCGACTCAGCTCTTTACACGACTCCTTCATGAGCGATACCGTCTCGCTCCCAGCCTCTATGAGAGAGCCCCCCTTCCCCATTCTCTAAGTGAAGGCCCTGGAGCCTTCTGCAACTACTCCAACCATTTCCTCAAGGCCGCAAGCCCCATGCCGCCTCACCGCGGGTCCTCGAACTCAACGAAGGCGAAAGGAGGTCCCCCGCGGCGATTCTTGAGGTCGATGTCACGGATAGCGCCGTATTTGTAGAACACGTCCTCAATGTCCTTGGTTCGGATGTCTGGAGGTAAGTTACCCACGTAGATGCGGCAATCGTTGTTCCCTGCCGGGCCACGAATCACACCACCTCCCGACATGGCGGCGACCAAAAGCGCGGACTCGAGAACGAGCCTTCCCACTAAGCCTAGCGCACGGCAGAGCGAGCCCGCAGCGGCACCACGTCTCCCGCGGCCCCTCCAAAATGGCGCCTTTATCAGCTCGGCGCACGGATATTGGGGGAGGGAGGAAGAGGAGCGGGAGGAAGCGGCTAGTCGGTCTCAATGCGCACGCGCAAGAGCGTAACGGGTACTACGAAAGGGACGCTCACGCACGCACGCGCGACGTCACCCTCCGCGCGGAGGGTAAAAAAAGTCCCCCAAGTTCCTCGCTGTCGGTGTGGTTTGTTGGTACTGTCCAGCCATTTGGTAAAAATTAAATACCGAATCCTCGTTACAGGGGTATTACTCCTTGTCGACTCTTCAAGGATAGTCAATTTGCCCAGGACCGTCTTTGAAAGCAACTCGGCGCCTTGAAAAGACGTGGTGAAATCTAGCCTAGAGGTTTTTCCCACCATGCTCTGCGGCGGTAACGGCCTTTGGCGGGAAAGACTCCCGAGGGCGGGGCCCGTGGAGGCGGGACCTGGCGGTTGCTCGGGAAACCGGCGCGTCTTGGAGTGAATCTTAGTCCAGGAGCGCAGTTGCAGGTAATTCAATGGGGTTCCTGGGTGTAGCGCAGTCTTTCCGCCCGTTGTACCGGCTGGCCGTGGCGGCTGAGACAATTAGATGTTTAATTCAGGGGAAACCTTCCGTTCCATAATTAATATGCTACCATTCCATCTTCGGTTCTGATCTTAACTGTTCATAGCCGAATTCAACACTGCTTGTGCTAGCGGCGGTGGATAGTACTTGATCAGTCTCTTTGAGGTACCTGCCAAGAAGGAGGGATACCAACACGGTACTGCCTTGAGGACACAGACCTCTTCATCGCCTGTCGCTGGACCTGCCCCAAAGGAGAGGCTCAGTGATGTTGCCTTTTTCTCCTCTTCCTCTAAAAAAATGAGAAAGCAAGGGTGTGTAGTTTATACCTTTTTCAAAAGCTTTCCCCCTGAAAGTTACTAATATGCAAGAGTTTTGACCTCATTACTGGGCCTCTCAAGTCATAAAGCAAGTGAGCAAAATAGATAAGAGAACTGTAACCACTGAAGAGTACACTTGGTGCTCAGGACTGCAATCCCACTTGCCTACTGGCCAAAGGAAATAGATCATTGTATATTTTTTCCAGAGATGTCTGAAATTTAGGTTTTCATGAGAAATCCTTGTTTTTTGTTTGTTTTTTTTTTTTGAAAGAGATTTTTGCCATAGGGCATGTGAATTCACGGAGAGCCGAGAAAAAGCAAAAAAATCACCCCCCAGGGGGGATGACCATGCTGCAATCCCTTCTCCATTCTGCTTCCGGATTTTGGGCGTGTACACACACAGACCCAGAGTGAGTTTTAAGCTACTGGAACTCAAACCGCAGTTGACTATATGGGAGTCCAATGATGTAACCATTACACTATCTGCTGGTCCCAAAATCCTGGTATTTTTACATGTTATTAATGAATTCAAATTAAAACCAAACTAAACCTTGCAATCAAAAGCTTATTAAAACATCAGCATCCTGATTTTTTTTTTAATTTGCTGGAGGGCATGTACACTTGCCAGAAAGAAAAGGAAAGTGAAAAAACACTCCTCCCCCCACCTCCCCCACACACACTGTGAGAGATGGCTACCCTGCAATCCCTTTTCCATATCTTTCAGGATTTGGGGCACACATGCACAGTGCCTGGCATGTTTTCCAAACGTTCAGATCCAGAACTCTGAGGGCATGGTATTCATTGTGGGATCTAACCACTTTAATCACCATTCCACCATCTGGCTCAGCACCCTGATTCTAAAAGTAATTTTCTTCATGTTGCCAGGTGGCTTAAAGATTAAGGGAGCTAGATCCCAGTGACCAACTGCAGTTTGAATCATGTGCCTGACTATCTAAATCCTGATAAGATGGAGAAACAGGATAAGGTATTGTGCCAGGACCATGCTTCATTGAAGGCGCTTTCTCCTTCTGTCTCGGGCAATTTAAATATATAAATAAATATAAGAAGTTATTTTCTTCTATTATGTGTTTATTTACAGCAGTTCCTTCCCACAAAGATGTGAGGCATCTTACAGAGATACCGTAAAACAACACTAAAAATTAACAAAGAAATAAAGGGGAATGGGAAGTGGGGGTATTAAAATGAAATTATGCAGGATCAGCAAGTGACATGGTGGCTGAATCTCACATGGTGGACTCTGCCGTTTGAGTCCCATACGTAGATGGCTTGAAAAATATGCCATGCACATGTGTGTCCAAAATCTCAAGAGGAGAATGGAGAAGGGATTGTGGGGTGGCCATCCTCCCAGGAGGTGATTTCTCACTTTCCCTCTATCTGGTGAGCGCATGTGCCCTATGGCAAAGATCTCAACAACAAAACAAATGAAATCATGCATAAAGAAGATTTGTACAGAAAATGCCTACAGTGAGAACCTGTTGAATTTCTAGAAATGGATTGCAAATTTCACTTGGTATTCCTAGAAGTCACAATAAAAAATGAAAGAAAAAGGTTATTTAGAATACTTTTTTTAAATTATAAAGCTAATTAAATGTACTTTACAGATGTCTCTCAATGAATCCAAAGTACTAATTCAATTTGAAATGAGATGTTTATTCTTGAGTCTGTGAATCCTCAACAGATCCATTGAGGACCTTTGGATATCTTTGAACTCTCTGTAATGGTTTCCAAAACTATTGATATATGTATGTGTGCATATGCTTTCTTTCCAGGAGGAAGATTTGAAATTTTAATCAAATTCTTAAAAGAGCTTGTGGATCCCAAAAGGAGAAAGATCCTCTGGAAATTTTAGGTGGAAAGATTGTCTGCCCTTCAGACCACCCTCCAATGATACTTTTGAAACTGAGCTTTTAAGAAAAAAGAGAAGAGTCTGATTTTTTGGAACTGAGAAGCTGACACATTACTTCAGCACATTGATTCAGTTCCTGTCACTGTCTCAATTAGTGACAGAAAAAAATGAGAGTTTTTTTAAAAACTGCAGCCATATTATATATTGATTCTTTTAATCAACAGTTATTTACTGAGCACATTTTCTCTTTGTTCTAACTTTTGTCCATCGATTTAGGTTTATTTCGGTTCACCTCTGTTAATATCAAGTTAATGACAAATGGATTGATTTAAACATAAATCCTCTTAATTCCAAGATATTTCCATTCCAGAAAAATAAGGAAGAAATGAATTTACTTTGATTTATTCTTGTTTGATTTAATGCAATCATCTCTGATTTTGTTCAAAAGAATTATAAGGTAGAATCTAACATTCAGTGCATGGGACTTTCTCATTTTTCTATTGATTTTTCTCTCTCTTTTCTCTCTCTCTTTTTATACTTGCATGTAACCAAACTATAGCTTCTGGTGTTGATGATGAGGCCAGTATGTAGCAGAAAATCTAGATTCTTTATCAGGGTCTCCTAGGATGGCATTGGCTTGGTTATTGGGTCAATCAAGGATATAATCTCAATGATTAACATAAATTTCAGTTCACAAGAGTAAAATACTAAAAAGCAAATAAACCCAACTATTTGAGTATCAGAAAAAAAATGAGATGAATCTTTTTGGGGGGGGAGCTTTTTTTTTTTCTACAGGGTGCGTGCACTCGCCAGACAGACAGAAAGCAAGAAATCACCCCTGAGGGGAGATAGCCACGCCACAGTCCCCTCTCCATTCTCCCCTCAGGATCCTGGTCACACACACAAGTGCCTGGTGTGAGTTTTAAGCCACCGGGTCTGGGACTCAAACCGTGACCAACTACATGGGAGTCCAGTGACATAGCCATTACACTAACTGCTGGTCCCAGGTGAATCATTTTTTAGGGATATTTTGGTGAGATCTGATAAATGATTCTGCCCCCACAGTAGAGACAGGAAAATTTATACCTTCTAGATTTTGTATCTGTTCCCTAGATAGTGCTGGGTGAAGATTGGCACTTTTCTTTCTATAGACTAATTTTTTTTTTTTTTTTTTTTGGTCCAAAACTATTGATATATGTATGTGTGCATATGCTTTCTTTCCAGGAGGAAGATTTGAAATTTTAATCAAATTCTTAAAAGAGCTTGTGGATCCCAAAAGGAGAAAGATCCTCTGGAAATTTTAGGTGGAAAGATTGTCTGCCCTTCAGACCACCCTCCAATGATACTTTTGAAACTGAGCTTTTAAGAAAAAAGAGAAGAGTCTGATTTTTTGGAACTGAGAAGCTGACACATTACTTCAGCACATTGATTCAGTTCCTGTCACTGTCTCAATTAGTGACAGAAAAAAATGAGAGTTTTTTTAAAAACTGCAGCCATATTATATATTGATTCTTTTAATCAACAGTTATTTACTGAGCACATTTTCTCTTTGTTCTAACTTTTGTCCATCGATTTAGGTTTATTTCGGTTCACCTCTGTTAATATCAAGTTAATGACAAATGGATTGATTTAAACATAAATCCTCTTAATTCCAAGATATTTCCATTCCAGAAAAATAAGGAAGAAATGAATTTACTTTGATTTATTCTTGTTTGATTTAATGCAATCATCTCTGATTTTGTTCAAAAGAATTATAAGGTAGAATCTAACATTCAGTGCATGGGACTTTCTCATTTTTCTATTGATTTTTCTCTCTCTTTTCTCTCTCTCTTTTTATACTTGCATGTAACCAAACTATAGCTTCTGGTGTTGATGATGAGGCCAGTATGTAGCAGAAAATCTAGATTCTTTATCAGGGTCTCCTAGGATGGCATTGGCTTGGTTATTGGGTCAATCAAGGATATAATCTCAATGATTAACATAAATTTCAGTTCACAAGAGTAAAATACTAAAAAGCAAATAAACCCAACTATTTGAGTATCAGAAAAAAAATGAGATGAATCTTTTTGGGGGGGGAGCTTTTTTTTTTTCTACAGGGTGCGTGCACTCGCCAGACAGACAGAAAGCAAGAAATCACCCCTGAGGGGAGATAGCCACGCCACAGTCCCCTCTCCATTCTCCCCTCAGGATCCTGGTCACACACACAAGTGCCTGGTGTGAGTTTTAAGCCACCGGGTCTGGGACTCAAACCGTGACCAACTACATGGGAGTCCAGTGACATAGCCATTACACTAACTGCTGGTCCCAGGTGAATCATTTTTTAGGGATATTTTGGTGAGATCTGATAAATGATTCTGCCCCCACAGTAGAGACAGGAAAATTTATACCTTCTAGATTTTGTATCTGTTCCCTAGATAGTGCTGGGTGAAGATTGGCACTTTTCTTTCTATAGACTAATTTTTTTTTTTTTTTTTTTTGGAGAGGTTTTCACTATAGGGCGCGTGCACTCGCCAGACAGACAGAGAGAGACATAGAGACAGAAAGCAAGAAATCCCCACCCAGGGGGGTTGGTCATGCCGCAGTCCCTTCTCCTCCATTCTCCTCTTGGGATCTTGGGCACGCACGCACACACGCCCGGTGTGAGTTTTAAGTCACCGGGTCCGGGATGCAAACCGCGGTCGACTACGTGGGAGTCCAGCGACATAGCCATTACGCTAACTACTGGTTCCCTATAGACTAATCTTCACACAGGCTTTCTCTGAATAATGTATGAGACAATTAGTTTTCTGCTAGTGAAATTATTAATATAATCACTTCCAGCTTTGCCTCCTGAGATTATATTCTCATCTCTTTTTTTCTTATTAAAAATTTTCTATAGGGGCCAGCAAGTGGTGTGGTGATTAGGAGCGCTGGATTCTCACACCCTTAACCATGGCCGACCGCAGTTCAAGTCCTGGACCTGCTGGCTTGCTTTCTCACTTTCCCTTTCTCTCTCTGTCTGGTCAAATTGAAAAATAATGATAATAATAAATTGAATTAAATAAATAAATGATTATTTGAAAAAAAATTTCTATAGAGCACGTGCACTCACCAGAGAGAGAGAAAGAGGATAGAAAGAAAACGAGAAATCATCCTCTAGGGAGAATGACCACACTACAGTCTCTTCCTCTGTTCTCTCAGGATTTGGGGCATACACACTTACGCACCTGGATCATTTTCCAAGCCACTGGGTCTGGGATTCAAACTGCATACATGAGATCCAGCTGCCTTAACCACTATGCTGCTTAGCTGGCCTTACATTCTCATTGTTTTTAAAAAATAATTGTTCTATTTTATTTATTCATTCATTTATTTTAATTTGACCAGAGAGAGACACACAGAGAGAGAAAGAAAGTTAGTAAGCCATAAGGTCCAGGACTTGAACCGTGGTCAGCCATGTGGGAGTGTCCATAACTTTAACCACCAGGCCGCCTGCTGGTCCCTACATTCTTATCTTAAGTGGGGTTTAGGAGGTCTCTAAACTGTCGGTGACACATTCACCAGCAATTTTATAGGTTGTTTCTACAACCAGCTAATCTATTAAGTATAGACTTTACCAGCTTCGTTCTCAGAAACTACATTATTTTATTATTTTCTTTTGGAGAAGTTTTTGTTTTTGTTGTTGCTGTTATTGTTTTGTTTTTTTGCTATAGGGCGTGTGCGCTTGCCAGAGAGACAGAAAGTGAGAAATCACCCCCGGGGGGGATGGCCACGCCACAGTCACTTCTTTGTTCTCCTCTCAGGATCTTGAGCACGCAGGCACACACTCCTGGCGTGAGTTTAAGCCACTGGATCCAGGACTCAAACCGCGGTCAACTACATGGGAGTTCAGCGACATACCCATTATGCCAACTGCTGGTTCCCAAAGCTATATTATTTTTAACATGGTTGCTGCTAATGAGAAGTTATTTCTTCCAAAGAAACTTTCTTTTAAGGTTTTGTCATAGAGTGCATGCACTTGGTGGAGAGAGACAAAGAGAGGGTAAGTGAGAAGTTACCTCCCCCAAGGGGGATGGGCATGCCCCAGTCCCTTCTCCAATCTTTCAGGCATACACAGCATGATTTTCAAGCCTCCAAGTCTAGGACTCAAACTGTCATTGGCCATGTGGCAGTCCACTATGCCATCTTCTGGCTTTGCCCACTCTCCTCTCCCAATACCAAAGACACTTTTTTTTTTTTTTTTTAAAGAAAGATTATTTATGCTGTAGGGCACATGTATTCACCAGGGAGACAAAGTGAGAAATCACCCCCCGGGGGGATAATCATGCCGCAACAATCATTTCTTCTCCTGGGATTTTGGGCATGCACACACATGTGCCTAGTGTGTGTGTTTAAACTGCTGTGTCTGGGGCTCAAACCATGGTCGACTATGTGAGAGTCTAGCAACACAACTATTACACCACTTGTTGGTCCTCAAAGAAACTTTTAAAAAGTATGCGATTCAAGTAAGTGTCAGCACCATACTTCACCCTGGAAATGATTACTTGCAGAAAAAGAAAAAAAATATTCAGAAAGCTAATTATTATTATTATCTTTCTTCCTTCCTTCCTTTCTTCCTTCTAATTTGACCAGAGGGAGACGGAGTGTGTGTGTGCAGGGGAGTAAGAAATTAAGCCACCAAGTCCAGGTCTTGAACCATGGTTGACCATGTGGGAGTCCAGTGCCCTTAACCACCATGCCACCTGCTGGCCTCTATTATTATTTTTAAGAGAGATTTTTGCTATAAGATGCATACGCTCACCAAAGAGACAGAAACAGTTAGAAATCACCCTCAGTGGGGATGGCCAAACCACAATCCTTTCTCCATTTTCTTCCTGGGATCTTGGGCATGCATATACATCCAATGTGAGTTTTAATTCCACCAGGTCTGAGACTGGAACTGAGGTCAACTATGGCCAACTATGTGGGAGTCCAGTGATGTAACCATTATGCCATCTGCTGGTCCCAGAATTGGGTCTTATATTTCATCCCTTAATAATAATTAACTCTATGGGGACCAGCAA